AGGCTGCAGCCTCAGCTTCCGCTCCCAGCTGTGACAGGGGCTCCCGGGGTCACTGCAGAGGGAACGTGCGAGTCAAGCCTGACCACAGGGCTCAAGAATAAAGTATGATTTTTGGGCCAGGCACAGTGGCTCATGTCTGCAATCCCAGCGGTTTGGGAGGCTGAGCTGGGAGGATCGCCGCAATAGGCCACGAGTTTGAGACCAGCCTGGTAAAATAGTGAGACCTCATCTCACAAAGATGTAAAAATAATTAGCCACATGTGCTGGCACTCACCTGTAGTCCCAGCTACTTGGGAAGCGGAGGCTGGAGGATCATTTCAGCCCAGGAAGTTGTGAATACAGTGAGTTATGATTATGCCCATTCACTACAGCCTGGATGACAGAGCAAGACCCTCCCTTCAAAGAAAATAAAGTTTAATTAAAATAAAATATGATTTGTGTTCAATGTAGAGCCTGTATTGGAAAGGAAGAGAAACTCCGAGCTAAAGAGTGAATGCCCAGTGGGGCCATATACGGTCACCTCTCCCTCAGCGTCCAGCTCCCCAGGCCACCAATATCTGGGGAGGGGGGAGAGATCTGGAGAAGTAAAACTCAGGAGACCTGTGGAGGAGGGATGCCTGTTTAATCCCAGCATATCCTTTGCTATCCTGCCCCAAGACGGTGGAAGACATTGAATCTGCCAGCCGGCGTCACTTTTTCTTGGGCTCTTTGGAAGCCACCAGGTACCTCTGGGCCACACTGAGTTGAGGGGAGAAGCTGTCTGAATAGGTGTCTTCAGATAGGGTGGAGTAGTCATCCAGGGGCTGGGGACAGGAGGGGCTGAGAGCAGCCCTGGGACTGGTGTCACTCACTTGTGGGTGATGTGGCTGTAACTGACCACCTTGGCCAGTATCCACTGCTTGTTCCCACCCACTGCCTTCACCCAGGCAGCCACCTTGTCTCCAGGTCTGGCCACATAGTCCCCTGAGGCAGGGATGGCCCCACAGAGGGGTAGGGGCCTGTGAGTGAAACCAAGAATCAGTCCCAGCCCCTGGGCACCAGCCCCTCCCTCACAACTGCTGCCTCACTTGTCACCAGGCTTCCCGATCCACAGGGCAGGGTCATCAGCACCCCTCTGCACAAGGTCTTCTGGGGCAGCTCCGAGTCATTGTAGAGACCTGTGATCTTGGCCGCTGTGGGAAGGAAGGGAGCCCTGAGGCCCCAGGGACAGGTTGCAGCCCCCACCACCCCTAGGCTGCTGCACTGAGCTGCTGGAGGAGCCCCCGGCTCCAGAGTGAGCCCGAGAGCCCAGCAGGACTGTGACCCCATCTGCCAGGTGTCCTACAGGGGCTGCTGCACTCAGCTACAGATGGGTGGGATGGCATCACAGCGGGCACCCAAGGGGAGGAACCAGGGAGGGACAAAGCGGGTTTAGACGTGCTGGTCAGGTCCTCTTCTTGATGTCAGTGCTGACACAGAAGTATGCTTCGTTAGTGATTATTTCCTAAAATTCGAAGGGTCCCGTGGGAATCGCGGTGAGTTCGGGGCGCTTCTTCGGCGTCTACGTGCTCTACTGCCTGAACCCGTGGCACTGGGGCCGCGTCTACGTGGTGTTCACTGTCAAACCTGCTCATCCGGTCCAGCAGCACAAGGGGGGCCGCAAAAAAGGCGGGGCTGGGTAGACCAGCGGGCGAGGGCCCTGGTGAGGCGGGGAGGGCTTCTGTGCCGGGAGGAAGGCTTCCTGGAGGAGGCGGACCCCGCGTGGCACAGGCCTGCTGAGAGGGACCAGACAGGCCTGTGAAGTAGGCGGGGCGTCCAGGGCGGGGACGGAGACAGTGCAGGGGAGGAGCGTGACAGGGAGGCGGTGCCCTGGGAATGTCTGCAGTGGAACTCCCGGAGGAGCTGGCTGGGGCGGGGGTGATGATCCAGGCTGGGGTCCAGAGTAGGGGTCTTGGTGGGCATGCTGGGGTCTGGTGGAGCGCCAGAGCAAAGCAGGGGGGACAGGTGGGTACTTGGGATGGAGGCGGGGCCTGATATTGGCAGGTGCAGGGGGCGTGTCTTCAGCCAGGGGCGGGGCCTGATATTGGCAGGTGCAGGGGGCGTGTCTTCAGTCAGGGGCGGGACCCAGGGCTGGGCTGAAGCTTGGAGTGAGGACCCCGCTGTCAGGTGGGATTGGAGGGGACTTGTGGTGGAAAGCGGCGGGGCTCACGGAGACACCCCGTTTTCCTCCCCAGAGAGATGGTGCTCCGTGTGCCCGGCTTCTCGTCCTCCGTGGCCGCCCTTCCGGTAGGAAGGAGACCGCGCGGCGGCGTGTGGTCGGGGTTTGGGATAGGACCCCTGCCTGACGCCGCCCTGACGGCCCCGTACCCCGCCGCGGTTGTAGTGGACCCGGCTCCTCCGCCCTGGGCACGCCAGCGGCTTCCGCAGCACCCAGACCTCCGCCGGGAGCTCTGACGGCTGTGCAGTACTGGCCACTGGCCTTCGGGCCTCCCCCGCCCCAGGGCGCCGCTCAGGTCCCTTTGCTGACGCCAAGCCGGATCCTGAGCCGGACCCGGGGCCCCAGAGGCCTGTGCGCCCTGCGCGCTAGAGCGCTTCAGGGGAGGTTCGACCCAGGCAAAGGGGCTGGATCGTCCAGACGACTTCGGATCTAGCTGCTTGTTGAAGAACCAGGAAACGCCCTGACGCTTTTGCGGCCCTGTCCCCGTCTCTAAGATGGGGATGACAGTACTTCTGGCCATTCTTGAGCACAGCACGATCTGCCTTTTCCCTTTGACTGGAAGGTTCTTCACTACGCCATCTGTCTTGATAACCTGCGGCCTCCGCAGAGAGGTCTTCCCTGTCTCCCGATTTAAAACTGCAGCTCCGAGAAGCCCGGCATGGTGGCATATGCCTGTAGTCCCAGCTGCGGGGGAAGCTGGGATGGGAGGATCGCTTGAGCCCAGGAGTTGGAGGCTGATGTGAGCTATGATTGCTCCATTGCACTTCAGCCTGGTTGAAAGAGCAAGACCCCGTCTCTAAAAAAATAAAATACAAGCCTGGCGCAGTGGCTCACACCTGTAATCCCAGCACTTTGGGAGGCGGAAGCGGGCCAATCACCTGAGGTCTGGAGTTCGAGACCAGCCTGACCAACATGGAGAAACTTCATCTCTAAAAAAAATTGTTTTTAATAAATAAATTTAAAAACATAAATAAAAATTCAATAACATTGCAGCTCTTCCTAACAGATGATGGTCCTGGATTTACTGAGCTCTCAAAAAATGTGAGTGAGTAGAGGACAAGCCCTGCAGAGATTCAGTAACCTGCCAGCGTGTGAGGAAGTTCAGCTCTGGCTGTAATAGTGAGGCTGTGACTCAATCAGTCACTGCTGATGCTTGCAGGACATTGGCCAACTTAGTCTCTGAGGGCAAGGATTTTAATCCCCATCTCCATTTCTTCATCTCTAAGATGTGAATAATAGTCACCCCTGCCTCATAGGATTGAGCTGTGGAACCCTCCTCCCACCTCCTTTCTGGGCCACCCGCTGCGGGTTCGGAGCTTTTTACTGGAGTGCAATACAAAGTCTGAATCTAGGGTGCCTTCCGGTGGTGGCTGAGGGCGGGGGCGGAGCTAGCAGCCTGTGGACCTGCCAGTCAAGGGGCTTCCAGAGGAGGGAGAAGGGGCCCCTGGCCCTAGCTTGTGAGCAGCCTCTCCTCTGCCTGAAAGTCCCACGCCTCAGTTTTCCCCCACTGCCTCCTGCCTGCTTGCCTCTGAACTCACGCAATTCTTGGAAGGCTTGGGAGACTCACCTCTACTCAGATGATTACCTGTCTCGTACCCAGCTTGACCTTGGATTTTAAATAGTGAGGACAAAGAAGGAGGAGGAGGGGGGATGCCCTCCTTCCATAGGGCCCCATGGCTTCCAAGCCTCAGCCTCCTCTGGCCTCTGTCTGCAGAGCCTTCTTCAAACCCAGGGAAAGAGAAGCACCTGCCAGGGGCTGCTGTTCTAGGATATGTTACTGATGCTCTGTAATTTCCCCCAAGAGCCATGTAGCTGGGACTTGCTTCCAGGGCAAGTGTCCTTCTTCTTTCTTGATCTATGAGTCCATGCTGTGCTCCACCCCTGCCCCTTGACTCTGTGCACACACATTACTCCAGACTGGCCTTGTGTTCAGAGCCTGGAGTGCCTGGGCTGCTGAGGGCTTGTGTGTGGGCTGCACCGGACTAGAAGCATTGGTGCCTTCAAGGTTTCCCTGGAAAACATGACCTGCCCCTTTTCTGCCTAGCTAGTACCCATTTTTCCCCACTCACAGGCTCACTTCCCTTGCCTGGGTCAATTAGAAAAAGCTTGTCTGCTGGCCTGAGGTCTGGAGTTCAAGAGCCCTGCAGGGTTGTGTTCAGTGGGCAGGTCAGGAGCCCGGTGACATCTCAAAAAATAAAAAAAGGGCGGGGCGCAGTGGCTTACACCTGTAATCCCACTAGTTTGGGAGGCTGAGACAGGCAAATCATCTGAGGTTAGGAGCTGGACACCAGCCTGACCAACATGGTGAAACCCTACGTACAAAACAAAAACTAGCCAGGCATGGTGGCATGCAGTTGTAATCTCAGCCACTCAGGAGAGTGAGGTAGAAGAATTGCTTGAACCTGGGTGGTGGAGGTTGCAGTGAGCCGAGATCGCACCACTATACCACAGCCTGGGCAACAGAGCAAGACTCGTTCTCAAAAAAAAAAAAAAAAACAAAACAAAAAAAAACAGAATACAATAAAAATAAAAATAAAATAAAATGAATCTATATATTCGGTTCTTTTGCCTTTCATTCTTCTGTTTCCTAATCACAACTAAACGCTAAACTCACATCTTGGCTTTGGAGATCACTCCAAGCTTGACTGCAGCAGTGGTGCTAGGGACGGTAATGGAGAAGCTCCCGAAACCCTCGGCCCCACCCCTTCCTTCCAGGAGCAAACCCAACTCTGGCCTTGACTCCAGATCCCTCCCACGTAAAACCTGCAACACCTTCGCAAACGGCAGCTCTTCACTCCCCACACTCAGCCGCTGCGGGCAAGGAGGGCAGGAAGCCAGTGTCTGGAGAATTCCGGTGAGTACCAGAGTGGAATGGCCCAGGATGCCCTCACCCTGCTCAGCTTCTGGCTCCAACATTCCAGAAGCCGAAGCCTCTCTGCCATACTGGCTGTTTCCCCATGGATGTCCAGTTTCACTATGTCCAGTTTCACTCCAGCCTGGCTGCCCTTCCTTCTTTTTATTTTTGTTTTTTTGAGATCTATCTTGGCTCTGACACCCAGAATGGAGTGCTGTGGTCAAATTGTAGCTCGCTGCAGCCTCAAAATCCTGGGCTTACCTGATCATCATGCCTCAGCTTCGCAAGTACCTGAGTGTACAGGAGAGAGCAAACAGGCCCAGCTAATTTGTTGTTGTTGTTGTTGTTGTTGTTGTTGTTTTTTGAGACGGAGTTCCTCTCTTGTTACCCAGGCTGGAGTGCAATGGCGCCATCTCAGCTCACCGCAACCTCCGCCTCCTGGGTTCAGGCAATTCTCCTGCCTCAGCCTCCTGAGTAGCTGGGATTACAGGCACGCGCCACCACGCCCAGCTAGTTTTTTGTATTTTTAGTAGAGACGGGGTTTCACCATGTTGACCAGGATGGTCTCGATCTCCTGACCTCGTGATCCACCCGCCTCGGCCTTCCAAAGTGCTGGGATTACAGGCTTGAGCCACCGCGCCTGGCCTTATTTTTGTTTTTTTTGAGGCTGAGTTTTCCTCTTGTTGCCCAGACTGGAGTGGAATGTCGCAATCTTTGCTCACCGCAACCTCCGCCTCCCAGGTTAAAGCGATTCTCCTGCCTCAGCTTCCCGAGCAGCTGGGATTACAGGACAGGCACTGGCCACTACGCCCACCTAATTTTGTGTTTTTAGTAGAGATGGGGTTTCTGCATATTGGTCAGGCTGGTCTCAAACTCCCAACCTCAGGTGATCCACCCACCTCGGCCTCCCAAAGTGCTAGGATTACAGTTGTGAGCCACTGTGCCCAGCTCGCCCAGCTAATTTTTAAATATATTTTTTCTAGAGATAGAGTCTTTCTATATTGCCCAGGTTGGTCTCAAAGTCCAAGGCTCAATTGATCCTTCCCCCTTGGGCTCCAGGAGCTCTGGGATTATAAGCATGAGCCACCATGTCCCATCCTCCTTCTGCTGAGTCATCCAAGTTTTGTTTATTCCCACACCAGGCTCTGGGCCCCAATACTAGCTAGTTGCTCAATGGGCCATGTTTGTCTTGGAGCCCAGAAGACTGTGGCTGGGCAAATGGATCACAGGTCCAGCCGGCTTGGGAGGTTTCCAAATGTGAAGGGCCCTGAGGGGCTCAAGCAGGGGAGCACCGGGGAGAGGAGCCCGCTGGGTGGAGGCTGGGGTCTCAGCAGGAAATGGTGAGACAAAGGGCTGGCAGGGAGACAGCACAGGCAGGCCTAGAGCCTCCTCAGGGCAGCTAGAGTCTCCTGGAGACCTTCACACACCCTGATACCTGGGCCCCCGCCCCGTGAGGGCACTTTCACTGGTCTGCACCATGGCCCAGGCCCTGGGATTTTGCACAGCTCTGCAGGTGAACAAAAGGTGCGGCCAGGCTGGGGAACCACCGCACTAGACGCAGACCTGGTTTTCAGTCCCAGCCCCGCCACCGACTGGCTTTGTGAGCTCGGGCAAGTCACTCAGCCTCCCTAGGCCTCAATGGCTTCCCTGAAAGTGAAAAGTCTGCACACGGTGTTGTGATGGTGTTAAGGGTGTGGGCCTGGCTCTGGCCCCTGACGCAGGAACATGGAGCTGATCCAGGACAGCCTCCGCCAGCCACTGGAGTATGTGAAGGGGGTCCCGCTCATCAAAAGCTTTGCGGAGGCACTGGGGTCCCTGGAGAGCTTCCGGGCCCGGCCCGATGACCTGCTCATCAGCACCTACCCCAAGTCCGGTAGGTGAGGAGGGCCACCCACCCTCTCCCACGTGGCAGCCCCCACCTTGGCCAGCCAGGTCCTACCCTCAACCTGCTCACCTCCCATCTCCCTCCCTCTCCCTCTCTCTCCAGGCACCACCTGGGTGAGCCAGATACTGGACATGATCTACCAGAATGGTGACCTGGACAAGTGTCAACGGGCTCCTATCTTCATGCGGGTGCCCTTTCTTGAGTTCAAAGCCCCAGGGGTTCCCTCAGGTGTGTGACTGGGACCTGGGGGGAAAGGGAGTGGAGGAAGACAGGGCTGAGGCTTTAGCTCATCTGACCTTCCTTGACCCACCGCTCAGGGCTGGAGACTCTGAACGACGCACCGGCCCCACGGCTCATCAAGACACACCTGCCCCTGGCCCTGCTCCCCCAGACTCTGTGGGATCAGAAGATCAAGGTGAGGCCGGGCACAGTGGCTTACACCTGTCAGCCCAGCACTTTGGGGGTCCAAGGCAGGAGGCTCACTTGCAACCAGAGTTGGAAGACAGCATGGGCAATATAGGGATGCAGTCTCTCTATTAAGAGAAAGAAAAGCCAGGTGTGGTAGCATGTGCCTGTGGTATCAGCTTCCAGGGAGACTGATGTGGGAGGATCGCTAGAACCGAGAAGTTTGAGGCTGCAGTGAGCCAGGATCACACCACTGCACTCCAGCCTGTGTGACAGAGAGAGACACCAACTCAAAGAAAAAGAAAAAAAAAAAAAAAAAAAAAAACTAAAAGAAAAGAATAAAAAAAGGCCAGATGCGAGGCATGGCAATCCAGGGAAGGAGGCTCCACAGAGCTCAGCTTTGGTTTTGTTCTTCTGGGAAGGTTGCCCCACATCCTTCAGTCTTGTCTCATCTTCAGCGGGGATGCCGTCTGCCTCTTGCCCTGGCAAGGCTCTGCTGGCCAGAAACAGGGGACTCTTCAGTGTCTGCCTTAGAAAGTCAGCATGTGGGTGCTCACAGGCCAGCAGAGGAGAGGGTTGGGTGGGACCAGGCATGCCTTGCTCCAGATTGGGACGTGAAGGCACTGGTGCAGTTTATATTAGTATAGAATATGGATCCAGGGACAGGCCGGACTTTGACATCTGAGCAGGGTTCAGATCCTCGCTTGGACCTACCTGCGCCATGAGATCTCAAGCAAGTCAGCATCTAAGCCTCAGGTTCCTCCTTTGCCAAACCAAGAGACGAGCCGGCCTGGGGCGGGCCATGTGATGGCGCTGGGCCGGGTCCTCTGCCCCTGCAGGTGGTCTACGTTGCCCGCAACGCAAAGGACGTGGCCGTCTCCTACTACCACTTCTACCAGATGGCCAAGGTGCACCCTGACCCTGGGACCTGGGACAGCTTCCTGGAGAAGTTCATGGCCGGAGAAGGTGGGTTGACTGCAGGAAGGAGGGTGTGGAGCTGAGGGGTGGTGGCTACAACACACGGCAACCCTGTGTCGGTGCCCCCGCCCGCTTCTCCAGTGTCCTATGGGTCCTGGTACCAGCACGTGCAGGAGTGGTGGGAGCTGAGCCGCACACACCCTGTTCTCTACCTCTTCTATGAAGACATGAAGGAGGTGAGACCACCTGTGCTGCCGCCCTCCATGTGACACCTGGGGACAGGCACCTCACAGGGACCTGCCAAGGCCACCCAGTCCCCTCTCCAGGCAGCCCCCACAGCAGGCCCGGATTCCCCGTCCCCAGAGGCTGAGGTCGGAGGATCACTTGAGCCGAGGAGTTCAAAACCAACCTGCTTCAGCCCCACCTGGCAGCAGGCCCAGCACAGCACTTTTCTCCCGTGCCTGAGTCAGCTGCACAGGTGGCCCTGGATCAGATACTTAGTCCTCTTGCTTCTCCCTGCCAAAGGGTGTGCCAGCCGGCAACCACAGTCAGAAAAAAAACCCATCCCTATTGTCACTCATAGGAGCCAAGCCCAGCTCATTACGGGGTCACAGGGTAAAAAGCAATTCATTTTACCCCAGGGCAAAGGGCCCCAGGGGTTGAGGAGCTGGGTCTAGAGGGTTTCTAGAAGTGGCCAGATTCCCTCTGACATTAGAGAGGGAGACCACTCTTATTTTCTTAAATGAGAAATCCCAGCCTCCACTGAGAGCCCTCTGCTGCTCAGAACCCCAAAAGGGAGATTCGGAAGATCCTGGAGTTTGTGGGGCGCTCCCTGCCGGAGGAGACCGTGGACCTCATTGTTCAGCACACATTGTTTGATGAGATGAAGAAGAACCCCATGACCAACTACACTGTCATGCCCCAGGAGTTCATGGACCACAGCATGTCCGCCTTCATGAGGAGAGGTGGGCACCGGCCAGCACGGGGATTTGGGGCAGGTGGGAGCAGCAGCTGGAGCCTCCCCATAGGCACTCGGGGCCTCCCCTGGGGTGAGATTCCAGCTTTGCTCCCTGCCTTCCTCCCCTAGGCATAGCTGGGGACTGGAAAACCACCTTCACTGTGGCGCAGAATGAGCGCTTCGACGCAGACTATGCAGAGAAGATGGCAGGCTGCAGCCTCAGCTTCCGCTCCCAGCTGTGACAGGGGCTCCCGGGGTCACTGCAGAGGGAATGTGTGAGTCAAGCCTGACCAAGGGGCTCAAGAATAAAATATGAATTGTGGGCTAGGGACAGTAGGTCATGTCTGTAATCCCAGCAATTTGGGAGGCTGAGGTAGGAGGATCACTTGAGCCCATGAGTTCAAGACCAACCTGGGCAACATAGTGAGATTCTGTTGCAAAAAGTAATAAAATAAAATCAATTTTTAAAAACAGAATAAAACATGATTTGTGGGTCAGGCAGGGTGGCTCATGTCTTTAATGCCGGCAGTTTGTGAAGTTGAGATCAGAGCATCACTGGAGGACAGGAGTTTGGGACCAGCCTGGTCAATGTTATGATGAGACGCCATCCCTACAAATTTGAGAAAATTATCCTCACGTGGTGGTGAGCACCTGTAGTCCCAAGTACTTGGCAAATTAAGGCAGGAGGATCCCCTGAGCCAGGGAGGTTGTAGCTGCAGTGAGCGGTGATTAAGCCCATCCACTCAAGCCTGGGGACAGAGGAAACCCTGCCTGAGAAATAAATAAAATACCATTTAATTAAAATAAATTATGATTCCTGACCAGCCTGGCCAACATGGCAAAACCCCGTCACTACTAAAAATACAAAATTAGCCAGGCTTGGTGGTGCACGCCTGTAATCCCAGCTACTTGGGAGGCTGAGGCACGAAAATCGCTTGAATCCGGGAGGTGGAGGTTGCAGTGAGTTGAGCTCATGCCACTGCACTCCAGCCTGGGTGACAGAGCAAGACTCGATCTCAAAATAAATGAATAAATAACATCGTTGAAACAAGAGACACACAGCAAAAGAAGTGCAGCAGAGAGTAACTTATTGCAAGAGACAAACAGTATTTGAAAGCACAAAATGGGCAATATACCTTGGAGAGTTCAGAACAGGCTGTTCATCGGGGTGAGACAGTGTTGATTACTGCAGGAAAAAACCCCTTGCTGGGAGTCTCACACAATTGTTCATAAGGGTGGGAAGAGGAGTCACTAGTAAGCATGTTCTGGGTGGCTCTGGGTGCACATGGGCATTTGCTATGCATGCTTGTTCCTAGAATGAATGTCTAATTAGCATTTTAAGTCTCCACCCAGAGGTGTGGGTTTTACTATTAAAATGAGCTTTGTAGGGACATGGATGAACCTGGAAACCATCAGTCTCAGCAAACTGACACAAGAGCAGAAAATCAAACACCACATGTTCTCACTCATAGGCGGGTGTTGAACAATGAGAACACGTGGACACAGGGAGGGGAGCACTACACACTGGGGTCCGCTGGGGGGAAATAGGGGAGGAATGGTGGGGGATGGGGAGGTGGGGAGAGATAGCATGGGGAGAAATGCCAGATGTAGGTGAACTGGAGGAAGGCAGCAAATCACACTGCCACGTGGGTACCTATGCAACAATCTTGCATATTCTTCACATGTACCCCCAAACCTAAAATGCAAAAAATTTAAAAAATAAAAATAAATGAGCAAAGGGTCAGTTTGGGGACAGGTAAAATCCAAACGCACATGTTCTGGAAAGGGGATGTTCTACTGGAGATAGCTTTGCTCAAATGAGCTCAGTGACCAGGCGAATGCTAAGGCTTACTATGTTGGCTGTGCGGTCACCAGAGTGGCAGCATCCCCAGAACGTTGTTGTCTCCTTCATGGCCTATCCTGCCTCACCCGGGCTCCATGCCCTGCCCTGGCCCAAACAAGTTCGTGGAGTCCATCTCGGGGTTGGCCATCCACTGGGGCAGCAGGGTGACCCACACCAGCTCAGGCTGTGTCTCCTGGGGGTAGAGGGGCTTGTGTCAACACGTGGCCAGGTGGGGAAGCTCCTTCCCGGCTGTTATGCTGCCCCCCAGGCTCTGTGCCCTGCCCTGGCCTGGACACTCACTCTTTGCCTTCTTCATCGATGTCATCTACCTCATACATGCAGACAAGAGAAAGAACACGCCGGATGCAGCCAGGGTCTCGGTCCCTGTCGGAAAGTGAAGAGGACAGGGACAGCCCAAGAACTGGGTGCTCCCTGCATAGCAGGCCCCGCCCACAGCACCCTCTGGGGACCTTTTCTCCTGCTGCAGAGCCAAAGCCCAGGCAGGTGCGGTGACTAGAGAGCATTCCTGGGGCTGGTGGCACTCCCTGTTGGTGGTGTGGCTGTAACTGACCACCTCGGCCAGGATCTACTGCTCGTCCCCATCCACAGCCTTTACCCAGGCAGCCACCTTGTCTTCAGGTCTGGCCACGAAGTCCCGAGGTGGCGATGGCCCCACAGAGGGGTGGGGACCTGTGAGTGGAACAAAGGGTCAGTCCCAGCCCCTGGGCAGCAGCCCCTCCCTCGAAGCTGTTGCCCTCACTTGTCACCAGGCTTCCCGATCCACAGGGGCAGGGTCATGGCCGACTGCTGCAGCAGGGTCACCAGCACTCCTCTGCGCATGGTCTTCCGGGCTGGCTCCGAGTCATTGTAGAGACTCAGGATCTTGGCCGCTGTGGGAAGGAAGGAAGCCCTGACCACAGGAGCAGGTGCCGGCCCCAACCCCACCTAGCCTGCTGCACTGAGCTGTTGGAGGAATCCCTGAGAGCCTCAGCTCCCGAGTGAGCCCGAGGACCCAGCAGGACTGTGGCCCCATCTGCCAGGTGTCCTACAGGGGCTGCTGCCCTCAACTACAGATGGGTGAGGCGGCACCACAGCGGGCACCCAGGGGGAGGAGCCAGGGAGGGACAAATCGGGAGGTGCAGGTCAGGTTCTCTTCTTGATGTAGGTGCTGACACGGAAGTGTGTTTAATAAAAAATTTCCTAAATTCTAAGGGTCCCGCGGTAGTTGCGGTGAGGCCGAGGCACTTCTTCCACCTCTACCTGCTCTACTGCCTGAACCCCTCCGCACCAGGATGGAGTCTACGTGGGGTTCACTGTCCACCCTGCTTGTCGGGTCCAGCAACATAATGGGGGCTGCACAGAAGGCAAGACCCAGGCCGGGTGCAGTGGCTTACGTCGGTAATCCAGCACTTTGGCAGGCCAAAGCGGTCTGATCACTTGAGGTCAGAAGTTCGAGATCTGCCCGGCAAACATAGTGAAACCCCGTCTCTACCAAAAATGTAAACATTAGCCAGGTACGGTGACACATACCTGTAATTCCAGCTACTCAAAAGGCTGAGGCAGGAGAATAAGCGGGGGTGGAAGCATGGGGAGGAAGAGGATGTGCGGGGCCACATCGGAGGTGGCAGTGAGCGCAATGGTGCCATTGCACTCCTGGTGAGACGGGGAGGGTCTCTGTGCCCGGAAGAAGGCTTCCTGGAGGAGGCGGACCGCGCTGGGCACAGGTCTGATGAGAGGGACCTGCCATCCCTGTGAAGCGGGCGGGGCTTCCAGGGAGGGACCGGGCCCGTCCCAGGGGAGGAGCGTGACGGGGAGGCGGTGCCCTGGGAATCTTGATGGTGGAACTCCGCGGGGAACTGGCTGGGACGGGGGTGATGATCCAGGCTGGGGTCCAGCGTAGGGGTCCTGGTGGGCACGCCGGGGTCGGGTGGGGCGCAGGAGGAGAGCAGGGGTGACAGACGGGTACCTAGGCTAGAGGCGGGTTCTGAGATCGGCAGGTGGAGGGGGCTCGGCTGCAGGCAGGGGCGGGGCCTGGGGCTGGGCTGACGCCGGGAGTGAGGACCCCGCTCTCGGGTAGAATTGGAGGGTACTCGTGGTGGGGCGCAGCGGGGCTCAAAGCGACGCCCACGTTCTCCTCCCCAGGGAGGTGGTGCATGTTCTGCACGGTTTCCCGTCCGCCGTGGCCGCCATTCTGGCGAAGAAGGAGACCGCGTGGCGGCGAGTGTCCCGGGTTTGGGGTCCTACCCCTACCCGACGCAGTCCTGGGGCCCTCGTACCCCGCCGCGGTTGTAGTGGACCCGGCTCCCCCGCCCTGGGCGCGCCTGCCGCTCCCGCAGCACCCAGTCCTCCGCCGGGGGCTCTGACGGCTGTGCAGCACTGGCCGCTGGCCTTCGGGCCTCTCCCGCCCCAGGGCGCCGCGCAGGTCCCTTTGCTGACGCCGAGCCTGAGCCTGAGCCGGACCCGGACCGGGGACCCCAGAGGCCTGTGCGCCCTGCGCGCCCGCGCGCTTCAGGGGAGGTTCGCCCCAGGCAAGGGAGATGCATCCTCCCGACGACTTCGGATCCAGCTGTTTGTTGAGGAACCAGGAAACGCCCTGATACTTTTGCGGCCCTGTCCCCGCCTCTAAGATGACAGTACTCCGGTCATTCCTGAGCACAGCAGGATCTGCCTTTTCCCTTTGACTGGAAGGTTCTTCTCTACGCCATCTGTCTTGATAACCTGCCACCTCCACAGAGAGGCCTTCCCTGTCTCCCGATTTAAAATTGCAGCTCTGAGAAGCCGGGCACGGTGGCACATGCCTGTAGTGCCAACTACTGGGGAGTCTGAGGTGAGAGGATCGCTTGAGCCCAGGAGCTGGAGGCTGCAGTGAGCTCTGATTGCTCCATTGCACTCCAGCCTGGGCGAAAGAGCAAGACTCTGTCTCTAAAAAGATAAACTAAAATTGCATGTCCTGTGTACTTTGCCATGGCTCCTTTTCCCGAATACTTATTATCTCACATGCTGCGTGTTTTATTGATCTCATCAGTCTCTCCCATCCCAACCCTTGTACTAAACTGCCCAAGGGCAGCTCTTGTCACTGCTGGAGAACCGAGTCCCACAGAGTCAATGGCTAAAAAATAGTTAATGAAATAATGGATGATGGTCCGGCCGTACTAAGTTCACCTTAAGTGTGAGTGGAGGACTAGCCCTGCGGAGATTCAGTGACTTGCTGGCGGTTGCTGAGCTGCCACGAAGTTCAGCCTGGTTGCAGTGTTCCAGGCTGTGACTCAATCAGTCACTGCTGATGCTCACGGGACCTTCACCAGCTTAGTCCCAGAGGGCAAGGATTTTAACCCCCCACCTCCATTTCCTCATCTGTAAAATGCAAATATGGAGCTGTGTAACGCCCGCTGCACAGAGGCTCGCTGCCAGCTCCCTCTCCCTCCTTGCCTCTTACCTGCCTGCTGCCTGGGACTGGATGAACAGGTGCCTTTGTGTTGCTCTGACCCTGGCTGCCCGCCAAGGGCCCATGTGACCTGCCTGGCAGAGGAATTCCTTTGGGAAGAACCAGGGCAGCTTCTGCGCATAGAGGGCTGATGCCTAGGTGAGTGCAGTCCCCTGGTACCAGCCTGGTCCAGCTCTGGGAAGAGGGTGCCCAGTTGTATAAGCCAAGCCCTGGCAACAGAGTCCTCATCTTGATATTCGGGGCCCAGCCTGCAGGGGGCTTGTGATGCGTGACTGTATCTCTCTGGCCCCATACCTTGGTAGCTGTGAGATGTCACTACTTTGGGTGACCTGATCTGGCTGTGCGGATGGGCATGAAGGAAATAGTAGAAGACTCGGAATTAGAAGATGTGAGTGGGCTTTAGCCCCAGCCTCTCTACCCGACTCCCTGCCCTGGGCTGTCTGTCACCAACCTTGCCGTGATAACTTGCTTTTTGTTGGCTTGAACTGACTCTCTCTTTCTTAGCTAAGAGCTGTTCAGGCCTCATGTTAGCTTCTTGAGCTGCACAGACGCCATCTTAGCTTCTTCATTTTAATTATTCCCCTCGTGGCCGGGCGCGGTGGCTCAAGCCTGTAATCCCAGCACTTTGGGAGGCCGAGGCGGGTGGATCACGAGGTCGAGAGATCGAGACCAACCATGGTCAACATGGTGAAACCCCGTCTCTACTAAAAATACAAAAGATTAGCTGGGCATGGTGGCATGTGCCTGTAATCCCAGCTACTCAGGAGGCTGAGGCAGGAGAATTGCCTGAACCCAGGAGGCGGAGGTTGCGGTGAGCCGAGATCGCGCCATTGCACTCCAGCCTGGGTAACAAGAGCGAAACTCCGTCTCAAAAAAAAAAAAAAAAAAAAAGAATTGTTTAATTATTCCCCTCATTAAGTATGCAACTGTAGTATGTAGCTGGGGCAGGATGACACCGGGCACATCCAGGACTGCATTTGCTGATAAGAGGCTGAGTAAAGTGGCACCAGCAGAGCCTGGGAATGCAGGTGCTCTTGAGTGTCCAGAGCCCCCATATCTATAAGTTGTATGTCTTTTTGTGATAGCTCTAGCCCTTGCCCCTGGTTCTGTTTTATTTCTCATATACTAGTTTAACTTTTAACTTTTTGCTTACTCTGGTTCTGTGAAAAAGCTTGCTTCAGCTAGGTTCCCCCTCCCCTTCAAAACTAGGGTATAAAAAACCCCCAGACTCTTTCTTCGGAGCCGAGAGAATTCTGGGCGTTAGCCATCTCTCGGTTGCCGGCTAAAATAAAGGACTCACAATGCAATCTCAGAATGTGGCGCATTCCTTATCCCGCTTGGGTATAACATTGCCTCTACAGACACTCTGGACAGCCCTGCTGGGGACCCGATCCTCAGCGTCCCTAACCCCCTCCAGATATACCAGTGGCCTAGGGGAGGTCCTCAAAGGCCGGTGGGACGTCCACCTCAGTCAGTCTCCAGGCTCTTGACACCTTTCCCAGAAGGAATTTAAGACAAGTCAGAAAGTCACAAATGTAGGGAGATTGCTTGCAGTGCAAAAGGGCATACTCAAGAAGGGGAATGTGGGGGTCATCAAGAGAGTGTCTCATGCCCTAGGAGGTTTGGGGCTGACCTTTATGGGCTTCTTTAACTAAAGATGGTATATTCATGAAGATTCCAGCAAAAGGTAAACGTTTCTCAAAACTGTGGTGCCACAATTTACATCCAAATACAGGTGTTCCTGGAGCTGTCTTGGCACTGGTGGGTGTATGAGTTAACATCTTACTGATCACATAATGGGACCCTAGGTGAAACCTACATCAAGTGCAGTGCCATGCTGGGTCTGGTTGGTTTTAGTCAGCTTGGTCCTCATCCTAATTTTCAGGGACTTATTGGCCCTCAGCACATGCAGCTGTTTCTTTTCTTTACTTTTTTGAGACGGAATCTCGCTCTGCTGCCCAGGCTGGAGTGCAATGGTGTGATTTCAGCTCACTGCAACCTCCGCCTCCTGGATTCAAGAGATTCTCCTGCCTCGGCCTCCTGAGTAGCCAGGATTACAGGTGTGCACCACCACAGCCAGCTAATTTTTGTATTTTTAGTAGAGATGGGGTTTCACCTTGTCGGTCAGGCTGGTCTCAAACTCCAGACCTCATTCTCTACCCGCCGCATCCTTGCAAAGTGGTGGAATTACAGGCGTGAGCCTCCGCACCCGGGTACCTGCAGCTATTTCAGGTTTCCTTCTTCAGGTCATGTGAAACTGCTGCCTGGGATTTTCTATTCTCCTTCTACCACCCTGTATTAATCTCACATTCTTGCCTCTTTTCTGTGCCACTCCAAGTGGTCCAGCCAGTTTTTCCTGGAGTGCAATACAAAGTCTGCATCAAGGGGGCCTCCTGATGGTTGGCTAAGGGCATATGAGGGT